CCTTCCCAGAGCATTAAGCATGCCACAGGCTTAAACAATCAGATCATCTTTTCCTACCACCTCAGGGCAGGATTCCCAGCTGTTCCAGCTCAAAGGGTTGCAAGTAGCAATGTTCTTAAATCCTTCTGGAGATGAACCATAACCTAGTTTATTTATCACAAAACTATCATGAAACCCTTATCTTTTTTCAAATATGAAACACAGATCCACAGACAAGGCCACCAACCAAGGCAGGGAAGAACGTGCCATCCTGCCATCGTGTCAGTGTGACCCAAACATTATCAAACACTGATAAGGTGCCCTTGTGACACGGCTGGGTCAAGGTGGCTGAGAAGGGGCTCACGTGGAGTCTTTGGAAAAGGGGAAGGGCAGATGGAAGGGCTCAAACCATGGTTCTTACATTGCACCCAAAAATCAGATGGAAAACAATCTAATTTCACACTGGCTTTCTCAGACACCAAAACAGAGAAACAGGAAAGCCTCCCTCTCCTCCCCCATTGGAGGGCCCCATGCAGGGAGGGTCTTCTGAGAGTCACATCAAAGGCAAGATCTTCTGTTTGCCAGCTATGTGCAGGCTGCAGAGCTCTGCAATGCTTCAGAGAGAAATTCACAGCACATGGCCAATCTCTAAAAAAATACCTTTGCAAGCTCTGTCCTCTCCCTTCTCTTGCCCCAAAACAGGGAATTTTCATCAAGCCATCTCAAGCCCAGAACCTCCCCTGGGAGCAGCCACCAGGGAGGTTGCTTCCCTGCCTTCACTGGGGAGGGAGCTTCCCTGCCTTCGCTGGGGCAGCGGGGCTGTAAGGCTGGAACAGAGTGCTCTCATGTCTCAGCAATGCAACCAACAGAGATCGATGCTGGTGTTAACTCTCTGCCACACATACCTGGCACAGCAGAGCCCTTGGATTAAGCTTCCCTTTTAAAACATGTCCAAGTTACATTAGGGGCTGGGGAAAAACGATGAAACCTGTGTGCCCACAGTCTCTCCACTGGCTGCAGACCCAAGGTTTCTCCCTCTGTTGAGGAACTATATTTGGGGCATGTGCTCCCAGGCACACAGTTCTGAACTGAGCCACACACAAATCCTCTCTGCCCATATTTCCAGGCCTCCTGTACTGCTCTGGCCTTTGACAGCATCCCCCAGGTCAGCATTAGTCCAGCAGTCTCATCAATGAGTCTTCCCCCCACACCCCACCCCC